TTTATATCACCTTACAGTGTCGTCAGTATTGTGTCCTTGGTGTTTATATCACCTTACAGTGTTTATATCACCTTACAGTGTCGTCAGCATTGTGTCCTTGGTGTTTATATCACCTTACAGTGTCATCAGTATTGTGTCCTTGGTGTTTATATCGCCTTACATACAGTCATTATATTTGATGTTCATACAGTGTTGTTATATTTAAAGTATTTTAATAACATGAAGCTTTATTGTTTATTGTTTTGTATTAAAAATATGCAACCAATCCTAAGTTGCTTATATTACTTATATATATTATTCAGAGATTAATCAAAATATCAGTGTTTGATGCCCTTAATTAGAAAACTGAAATATGTATTCTCAGAAAAGGATTGAAAATTAATCATAGGAAACATTACAAAGGGCGAGCCCGGCCTGACCTTCGTCGCGGTCGTCCTCGTTTGCAGTGTTGCGGTGATGCATGAGTGGGGTGATGATGTTGTCGATGTGTTCCTCACAGTTACTCAGCAACACAGGTTTACCTCGCATGATTGCCTTCTCCAGGGTCATAATCACGTGTGGGTCAGTCCTGGTAACGATACACATATCTCACATGACTGACAATAACAGTGTATAATCTCCTCAGAAATTCACTTAACAGCAAAACTCACACATAGACATACAGAAAATATCAAAATATTTAAACAGTTTTCCCCATAGCTAATATAATATAGACAATGAAGTGACCGAATATTGAATATAAGGCAACGACAAAAACTAACATTCATCACAGATACAGGGATCAAGTGAGGTAGAGCGGATCTAAAGGCCTTTAGTAGGAATAACTGAAAATCACTTAGTTCTTAAATTAGGAATTAATCCAAGTTTAACATGGGCTTTGTTTCCCAAGATAATGAGTTGTCTTTTCTTGCCTGTCCTTAAAAATGCAAAAAGTTCTAGCTTTTCTATCCCCAGGTAAACATTGAAAGCTGGTGACTCTCTTGCCTGAACTCTTGTCCAACCACAAGTAAAATGCTAAAAGTTGTCTTCCCTTGTTTTACTTTTATTATGCAGTGAAATTGTCCCTGCTGATCTTAATGATTATATCTTCCAACATTGTCACAGACAACACAGGGCGAGCAATGATATATTTGTCACAGACAACACAGGGTGGGCAATGCTATATTGTCACAGACAACACAGGGCGAGCAATGATATATTACAGTTTGTGATGTTAATAGATACAATCATGCAGTGGACATAATTCATGCAAAAGAAAGAAAGAAAACCAGATCCCCCATAATAGGAATCAGTTAATGTTCATGTACTGAAGGAAAATATCTAATGTAATTCATGTCCTTAAGGAAAACATCTAATGTAATTCATGTTCTAAAGGAAAACATCTAATGTAATTCATGTTCTTAAGGAAAACATCTAATGTAATTCATGTTCAAAAGGAAAACATCTAATGTAATTCATGTCCTGAAGGAAAACATCTAATGTAATTCATGCAATAAAATATTTCTTTACTTTTTCTGTATTTTTCTCAAACGGTACTTTTAATATCAAAATTTCATACAAAAAAAAAGAAGATAATTTTATATTTTTAAAATCAAACTTTTGGTTTATATATAATCAAAATTCCATAACGAGGATATCATGCATAATCAAATGTCATCAAAATGTTTTCAGTATTTTATAGGAAATAGCGTTAACAAACTTCACATGCAAAATTATAAGATAGTAATTAATTTGCTTTTGTACTTCAGAAGAATTAGCAGTGGCAAATTCTGACTGAAAGCAGACCTGGAAGTGAACAAACATGCGGTCTCTATCTGATCAAGGGTGAAAATACTGGCAATATTTTACAAGTAAGGAGTCATTAAAAAAACGGCACTAATTTATAAGTAAGTTGTCATTATTTTGCTACACCAACTTTTTTTTCTACACATTCATTTTTACTGAAAAGTTACCATGTTATGTAATTAGATTGAAAACTACAATTATATCCATTTTCCAAATGCACATGAAGATGTTGATTAGGTCTACATGTTAAATCTATATATGGATAAGAACATTCAGATTTATTAATCTAACAAGTCAAATATCACTTACTTAATCAAAGTTTGGGTTATAATTCTGTAAGATGGAGAGAAAAGGTACCTTGAATGAGGTATTATCACTACAGTCTCCTGGTTTGTAAATTTTGTAGATAAAATATCAAACTGATTTTCACTTAATTTTTTAAATGGTTTTACTCCAACTGTTACCAATTCAACTACCCACTATTATGTGTGCCATATATGTACGAGGAAATGAATAGAACATTGTATAATGTGTCAGTATCTAGCGACAGCATTCTTCAACGGATAATAGATTGTTTCTCCATTGAGGAATGAAGTCGATACAGCAGTAACCAGGAATGAAGTTGCTAGAGCGATGACAAAGTTTTTTTTCTAAAAACAGTAACAGTGACCTTGACCCTTCAACAAAGAAACCCTAAACCAGAACTTGTTTAAGGCATTGCCATACCAAACACTTGCATGAAGTTTCATGAAATTCCATAGAGGAACGAAGTCGCTAGAGCGATGACAAAGAGTGTAACCTACGTACATACCTACGGACCAAATCCTATTTCCCCTCGAACTTTCGTTGCAAGGTGATGATAAAATATGTGTTTATACTCCATAGAGACAAAATAACCTTTAAAACAAGAGGCCCAGAGGGCCTGTATCGCTCACCTGGATATCTAAGCAATCATGGCAAAATATTCTCCAAATGAGATCCAAGGGAATATGCCAGACCCCAAGGTCAATCCTTGTAGCATATCTGTATTAGATTTTTCATGCCAATCAATTTTATGTATGGTTATGGGGTGGGGATCTCAACTGTTTCCAAGCTGTGACTTTTAAACTAGGTCCCTAGGGTTGTGGCCAGACCCCAGGATCAATAATAATATCATGACTCCATTTGTTTCTTTTTGCCCAGCATTTGTATATATAGTTTTGGGGTGGGGATCTCAACCGTTTCAAAGATATGATTCAGGGGTTAAGTCTCCAAGGGTGGGGCAGATCCCAAGGTCATCCTGGAAGCATATTTGCATTCATCTCTTTATAATCAGCAATTGTATATATGGTTATAGGGTGGGTATCTCTACTGTTTCCAAGCTGTGACTAAGAAACTAGGTCCCAAGGGGTTCGGTCAGACCCCAGGGTCTATTCTAATATCATGACTGCATTTGTGTCTTTATGCCCAGCATTTGTATATATATAGTTTTGGGGTGGGGATCTCAACCGTTTTAAAGTTATGGCCCAGGGACTATGTCTCCAAGGGTGGGGCCAGACCCTAGAGCCAATCTGGAAGCAAATGTGCATTCTTCTCTTTATACTCAGCAATTGTATATATGTTTATACGGTGGGGATCTCAACCATTTCCAAGTAATAAACTTTTTTTGGCCCCACCCCTTAGCCCGGGGGGTCAGCCCCACCATTTGTACAATTTTGAATCCCTGCCTCCCATGGATGCTTCCTACCAAATATGATCGATATCCATGGCACAGTTCTACAGAAGTCGTTTATAGCAATATAGCCAAATTGCCCCATTTTGGCCCCGCTCTCAGCCCCCTGGGGGGTCAGTCCCACTATTTGTACAAGTTTGAATCCCCACCACCTAGGGATGCTTCTAGTCAAGTATGGTTGATATCCAGTGCATAGTTCTACAGAATAAAATGCTTAAAGCAATACAGCCAAATAACCCTTTTTATGGCCCCGCCCCTCAGCCCCCTGGGGGGTCAGCCCCACCATTTGTACAATTTTGAATCCCCACCACCTATAGATGCTTCCAGTCAAATAGGGTTGATATCCAGTGCATAGTTCTACAGAAGATGTCGTTTGTAGCAATATAGCCAAATTGCCCCTATTTGGCCCCACCCCTTAGCCCCCCTGGGGGGTCAGCCCCACCATTTGTACAATCTTGAATCCCTGCCTCCCATGAATGCTTTTGATCAAATATGATCTTTATACTCAGCAATTGTATATATGGTTATATGGTGGGGATCTCAACCATTTCCAAGTAATAAACTTTTTTTGTCCCCACCCCTTAGCCGGGGGGGTCAGCCCCACAATTTGTACAATTTTGTCTTTTGTGTTGGTATTTCAGATGAAATCATTAGATCTCGATTGATTTTAACACCCACGTACTAACATCAATTGATTTTAACACCCACTGGCTAACATTTACACTTTCATTCAGGGAGGGGTTCAAGCTTGAAATTCATCATTAAAAGTTGATAAGGAAATTCAAAATTTGAATTTTTAACATTTCAATATTTCATTGTTTTTATGTTTCTATATAGCACATATACTGAATGTCTATTTAAATGGATTTCTGTTTAACATACTGAAATAAACTATCTCTGGAAAAGGAAATTCTAGATGTTGATCTTCAAAAAGAAAGCAATATTAATTGACGAAAATTACAAAATGATTAAAATATACAAATAACATAATTAAAATAGAAATAAATACTGTAAATAGTAAATGTAAACAAAAAAGAAGCAAGCTTTGTGAATAAGGACACAAATGAACTTGTCTGTCAATATACATGTACAGTAATAGATAAGGGACTTGTCTGTCAATATACATGTACAGTAATAGATAAGGGACTTGTCTGTCAATATACATGTACAGTAATAGATAAGGGACTTGTCTGTCAATATACATGTACAGTAATAGATAAGGGACTTGTCTGTCAATATACATGTACAGTAATAGATAAGGGACTTGTCTGTCAATATACATGTACAGTAATAGATAAGGGACTTGTCTGTCAATATACATGTACAGTAATAGATAAGGGACTTGTCTGTCAATATACATGTACAGTAATAGATAAGGGACTTGTCTGTCAATATACATGTACAGTAATAGATAAGGGACTTGTCTGTCAATATACATGTACAGTAATAGATAAGGGACTTGTCTGTCAATATACATGTACAGTAATAGATAAGGGACTTGTCTGTCAATATACATGTACAGTAATAGATAAGGGACTTGTCTGTCAATATACATGTACAGTAATAGATAAGGGACTTGTCTGTCAATATACATGTACAGTAATAGATAAGGGACTTGTCTGTCAATATACATGTACAGTAATAGATAAGGGACTTGTCTGTCAATATACATGTACAGTAATAGATAAGGGACTTGTCTGTCAATATACATGTACAGTAATAGATAAGGGACTTGTCTGTCAATATACATGTACAGTAATAGATAAGGGACTTGTCTGTCAATATACATGTACAGTAATAGATAAGGGACTTGTCTGTCAATATACATGTACAGTAATAGATAAGGGACTTGTCTGTCAATATACATGTACAGTAATAGATAAGGGACTTGTCTGTCAATATACATGTACAGTAATAGATAAGGGACTTGTCTGTCAATATACATGTACAGTAATAGATAAGGGACTTGTCTGTCAATATACATGTACAGTAATAGATAAGGGACTTGTCTGTCAATATACATGTACAGTAATAGATAAGGGACTTGTCTGTCAATATACATGTACAGTAATAGATAAGGGACTTGTCTGTCAATATACATGTACAGTAATAGATAAGGGACTTGTCTGTCAATATACATGTACAGTAATAGATAAGGGACTTGTCTGTCAATATACATGTACAGTAATAGATAAGGGACTTGTCTGTCAATATACATGTACAGTAATAGATAAGGGACTTGTCTGTCAATATACATGTACAGTAATAGATAAGGGACTTGTCTGTCAATATACATGTACAGTAATAGATAAGGGACTTGTCTGTCAATATACATGTACAGTAATAGATAAGGGACTTGTCTGTCAATATACATGTACAGTAATAGATAAGGGACTTGTCTGTCAATATACATGTACAGTAATAGATAAGGGACTTGTCTGTCAATATACATGTACAGTAATAGATAAGGGACTTGTCTGTCAATATACATGTACAGTAATAGATAAGGGACTTGTCTGTCAATATACATGTACAGTAATAGATAAGGGACTTGTCTGTCAATATACATGTACAGTAATAGATAAGGGACTTGTCTGTCAATATACATGTACAGTAATAGATAAGGGACTTGTCTGTCAATATACATGTACAGTAATAGATAAGGGACTTGTCTGTCAATATACATGTACAGTAATAGATAAGGGACTTGTCTGTCAATATACATGTACAGTAATAGATAAGGGACTTGTCTGTCAATATACATGTACAGTAATAGATAAGGGACTTGTCTGTCAATATACATGTACAGTAATAGATAAGGGACTTGTCTGTCAATATACATGTACAGTAATAGATAAGGGACTTGTCTGTCAATATACATGTACAGTAATAGATAAGGGACTTGTCTGTCAATATACATGTACAGTAATAGATAAGGGACTTGTCTGTCAATATACATGTACAGTAATAGATAAGGGACTTGTCTGTCAATATACATGTACAGTAATAGATAAGGGACTTGTCTGTCAATATACATGTACAGTAATAGATAAGGGACTTGTCTGTCAATATACATGTACAGTAATAGATAAGGGACTTGTCTGTCAATATACATGTACAGTAATAGATAAGGGACTTGTCTGTCAATATACATGTACAGTAATAGATAAGGGACTTGTCTGTCAATATACATGTACAGTAATAGATAAGGGACTTGTCTGTCAATATACATGTACAGTAATAGATAAGGGACTTGTCTGTCAATATACATGTACAGTAATAGATAAGGGACTTGTCTGTCAATATACATGTACAGTAATAGTTAAGGGACTTTTCTGTCAATATACATGTACAGTAATAATTAAGGGACTTTTCTGTCAATATACATGTACAGTAATAGATAAGGGACTTGTCTGTCAATACATGTACAGTAATAGATAAGGGACTCTGGTGTCAATATACATGTACAGTAATAGATAAGGGACTTGTCTGTCAATATACATGTACAGTAATAGATAAGGGACTCTGGTGTCAATATACATGTACAGTTATAGATAAAGAAATAGAAATGTAAAGGAAACAACACTATAATAGTGAAAGACATATAATAATGTTAAAATGTTATTTCTATATAATGGATGGAAATAATAGTAAAATAACGTAGTATGTTTATCAAATGTTACCCTTGTATGGTCTTGCTGTGCCAACTGTGAAAACAGGTAAATCAGGTAGACATTCATATGGTGTACTGCTACAGGTTTTAAATATAGCATAGTTATCACACTTAGTTTATCAGCTACAGGTAGTTACACTCATCTGGTACAGGGATATAGTTATACCTACAGGGATTTAGTTCCACTCATAAAGCACAGGGAGTTAGTTATACTCATCAGGTACAGGGAGTTACTTATATTAATCAGGTACAGGGAGTTAGTTATACTCATCAAGCACAGGGAGTTAGTTATACTCATCAGCTAGAGGTAGGTAGGCATAGTCATGAAATAAAGGTCATTAGTTACACTCATCAGCTAGAGGTAGTTATAGTTATTTACAGTTATCAGGTATAGGTAATTACGCTCATCACTTATAGATAGTTACAATAATTAATTTTATTAATGTTGATAATTGTTACTGCAGGTTCTATAAATTTACTGATATATCTAATAGATCAAAATAATTAAGTAAATTTATAGAACCTGCAGTAGCAATTATCAACATAACTAGTGACCTTTATTTCATGACTATGCACATCAAAATGATTGAAATGAGTCAAGGAAAGACATAAAGATAAGGCTGTACTTAAAACAGGATGATAATGTACAAAACAATTACCAGGCCTATAAGTTATCATTGTTCTGGTAGAAAATGTCAGGTGAAGCATCTAATGTTGAAATGATGATGGAAGTATTGTAGTTTGATATGTGCTATACTATACAAGTATTGTAGTTTGATATGTGCTATACTATACAAGTATTGTAGTTTGATATGTGCTATACTATACAAGTATTGTAGTTTGATATGTGCTATACTATACAAGTATTGTAGTTTGATATGTGCTATACTATACAAGTATTGTATGCATCTCATATGGAGTGACACTTGTACAAAAGAAGCCTCTGTGTGAACAAAATTATACAGGTATGTGGACCTGGGTGAGACAGCAGCATTGGAGTATAAAAGGGGGTATGTGGACCTGGGGGAGACAGCAGCATTGGAGTATAGAAGGGGGTATGTGGACCGGGGTGAGACAGCCTTGGAGCATAAAAGGGGGTATGTGCAGCGTGGTGAAACAGCCTTGGAGTATAAAAGGGGGTATGTTGACCTGGGTTAGACAGCAGCATTGGAGTATAGAAGGGGGTATGTGGACCGGGGTGAGACAGCCTTGGAGTATAAACGGGGGTATGTGGACCTGGGGGAGACAGCAGCATTGGAGTATAAAGGGGGGTATGTGGTCCGGGGGGAGGCAGCCTTGGAGTATAAAAGGGAGTATGTGGACCTGGGTGAGGCAGCCTTGGAGTATAAAAGGGGGTATATGGACCTGGGTGAGACAGCCGCATTGGAGTATAAAAGGGGGTATGTGGACCTGGGTGAGACAGCCTTGGAGTATAAAAGGGGGTATGTGGACCTGGGTGAGACAACAGCATTGGAGTATAAAAGGGGGTATGTGAGAAGTGTTGTCTGCAAATTTCAAATTACATATTTAAAAAATTGTGAATATGTTAAATTGGGATATATAATACATTTAAAATAAGACACCTGTGGAAATGAATGTTTGTTAGCAAAATCCCCTTGGGTAAACAATGAAAATATGACTACACACCTATGTACAAATGTATGATAAAATATCTTCTACTTAAAAGAAATGATAAGAACTAGATAGATCACAATTGTCATATTACATAATCATACTTGGAAACTTTTTGAAATTTCCATAGGGGAGATTACGTATGCTCAAATTAAAAGCATAAATTAAAATGTGTGTATATACACGCTAAGGAGAAATAATACTTTTAACTGGCTTTTATTTTAACTGTTCTTTCAGATGAAATCATCAGATCTTTGAAAATAGAATTAGTTTAGCAAATTCACTGGTTGAAAATGCTTAATTTAAGGGTCCAAAATCAAGAGTCTCCCTCCTAAATAGGCAGAGTTGGCAAATATGCTTATTTCTGAGGATAGTTTGTGACATTTGTGAAGTCATGTAGGAAAACATAAACATGCTGAAAGACTTCTGTGTGATTCTGACATACAATGAAGGACATACACAAGGTATTTTTGAAGTTGTGACACAGTGATGACTGGTGAGATTATGACTTTGTGAGGACCACAGTGAGAAGACCTCTGTGAGAGATCTGTGAAATATGTGAGAGATCTGTGAGAGATCTGTGAGAGGACTTGTGAGAGGACTTGAGAGAGGACTTGAGAAGAGGTGAGATTGATGTATCATCGTATACGTACCATCTGTATTATAGTGTTAGTGGCACACAGTCCAGACAGGCAGCAAATGAAACAAAACATCATTAGCATCAAAACAGGCTTACATCAGAGTCAGGAGTTAATGGCCTAATTACCAAGTCAAGAGAAAAATGTGGTAGTAATATTGGGGATAATCACTGAAAAGTAACCTCCATTAGCTTTTAAGACTTCAATTTTAGGATTTTTGATATTTCAAATTTTTCCCTTCATAAATTCAATCAGATATTGGATCTAATTTATTTTCCTGTAAACTAAAGTCTGTAGAAATCTAACTGTAAACTATCCTGCCGTATTTGTAAACATCTCACAGTCCAGACCTGTAGACCCTAATGTCTGTAGAAATCTAACTGTAAACTATCCTGCCGTATTAGTAAACATCTCACAGTCCAGACCTGTAGACCCTAATGTCTGTAGAAATCTAACTGTAAACTATCCTGCCGTATTTGTAAACATCTCACAGTCCAGACCTGTAGACCCTAATGTCTGTAGAAATCTAACTGTAAACTATCCTGCCGTATTTGTAAACATCTCACAGTCCAGACCTGTAGACCCTAATGTCTGTAGAAATCTAACTGTAAACTATCCTGCCGTAT